AATAGGCATAAGGAACATGCAGTTACAGGAGATAATTGCACTCAGCTGGGGGTAATTAGGCTCCTCTCAAGACTATAAAAGGGATAATCGTGCACACGCTCATTGCAGGAGTCAACGTATTCACTAGAGCTGGAGAACTCTCGTGGCTATCTTGGCAGGCTGGATTGCTGCCAAGGTTAGTCTGTGCTGGATTGCTGCCAACGTCTAGTCTGTGCTGGATTGCTGCCAAGGACTGGACTGTGCTGGATTGCTGCCAAGGTCTGGTCTGTGCTGGATTGCTGCCAAGGACTGGACTGTGCTGGATTGCTGCCAAGATCTTGTCTGTGTGTTAATAAATCCTTGAAATATCTTTGTCTCAGCGTGCTTTGGTGTAGGACGAGGGAGGTCAGAACAGAAACCGATCAAGGAGAGAAGCAACCTGGAATTAAGGAGGAATTTCCTGACAGAGCAATTAATCCAGAAGTTGTGAATGCTCCAACACTGGAAGTTTTTAAAAAGAATTTGGACATCCATTTGTCTGAAATGTTACAGGGTTTCCTGCCTGAGCAGAGGGTTGGAGTAGAAGACCTCCATGGTCCCTTCCAACTCTGTTATTCTGTTAAATAAACTGTGCAATTATTAAACAAATTCATCTTCCCCTTTGATTGAGAAGGTTTCAAATGGTGATCCACGACCCCAGGATGCTGCAGTCCTCATTAACTACATCCCAGTTGCCAAGTGGCCGAATTTTGATCACTTGATTGTGGGCATGCTGCGACAGTTGTGAGTGTGAGGAACAGTTGTATATCACTTTTTTTTTTCAGTGTCACTCTGACTTCAAACGGCAACTATACAACAAATAGACGTAAATCAATAAACTGCTGGTAGTTTATTCATAGCAAATTCCCAGGCTGCATTCCTGTGTAATCAGGAAAACCTACTCGAAAAATTCATGCACCAAGAAGTTCCAAAGTGAAATGAAAAGAATTTCTTTTAACAGAGGTTTTTTTGTTGTTGCTGCTGCTGCTGCTGAACTTTAAAACATCTGTTTAGCTGGATGACTGGCAGCACATGCACAAACGATAAAAAGAGGTGTACTTCATTTTACTGTGCCTGGTTATTTGGCAAGATTGCCCTTCGGGAATTATCCCACACCAGACAGGGTTTTGGAAGGACATCTGTCTTATTTTTCTATGTGCAAAAGCTTTGATGAGACGAAATGTCGAACAGATGGCCAGGCATTATATCTGTCTTTCAAGTGCAATTTTTTTTTCCCCTGGAAGGAAGAACATGGAGACGAAATGATAACCATTTTCATTTCAATCGGAATAGAGCTGGAAGGGACCTTGGAGGTCTTCTAGTCCAACCCCCTGCTCAAGCAGGAGACCCTATACAATTTTAGACAAGTGGCTGTCCAGACTTTTCTTAAAAACCTCCAGTGATGAAACACCCACAACTTCTGAAGGCGTTCCACTACCGTGTTTCTCTGAAAATAAGACTGGGTTCTATATTAATTTTTGCTCCAAATGATGCATTAGGGCTTATTTTTGAGGAAACATGGTAATAAATGCATCCATCTGGCTGACAACCTTAACTGGGGCTTATTTGGGGGTAGGGCTTATATTATGAGCATCCTGAAAAATCATGCTAGGACTTATTTTCGGGTTAGGTTTTAGGGAAACAGGGTAGTTAATTGTACTCACTATTAGGAAGTTTCTCCTAGATCCCAAGTTGCTTCTCTCCTTGATTAGTTCCATCCATTGTTTCTCATCTTGCTCTCTGGTGCTTTGGGGAAAATAAGTTGACCCCCTCTTCTTTGTGGCAGCCCCTCAAATCCATATTCATTTGTATAAGAAGATCAGTAGAGTAGAGTAGAGTAGAGTAGAGTAGAGTAGAGTAGAGTAGAGTAGAGTAGAGTAGAGTAGAGTAGAGTAGAAATCCTTATTGGCCAAGTGTGATTGGACACACAAGGAATTTTTCTTTGGTGCAGATGCTCTCAGTGTATATAAAAAGACAAGATACATTTGTCAAGAATCCTAAGGTACAACACTTAATGATAGTCATAGGGCACAAATAAGCAATCATGAAACAATCAATATCAATACAAATCGTAAGGATATAAGCAGTAAAGTTAGAGTCCTGCAGTTGTAAGTGGGAGGAGATGGATGATAGGAGCAATGAGACCTAATAGTAATGGTGTTATAGAAAATGACAGGACACACAAACCAACTCTTCAGAGAAGGAAAGTTTATTTGCGCAGGTTCAGAATAAATGGCCTGAACATTGAGTGAAATTCAGGAACTTCCTTATATAGTTTATCACTTTCAGCTAAAGCCATCTGTTAGTTTTGGAAACACCCCTCAAGATTTGCCCTTGAGTTACAGAAAGTATGTCTACAGGATGTCAGAATACATGGGTCAGCGAACGGACATGCATAGCTCGTATTTTGAGGAACTAACAATATGTGTCTACCAGATTAACAGCCAAGCCAGCAGATGAGCTAAAATAGATGCTTCGCTTCAGCATATTTCATGTGCAAACTTCCTTCTCACCCGTGTCTAACCGCACTATGTCCTAAAAGCAAACCTTGCAATTTCTATGTGAACAGTTAAAGCTTAATATCATGAAACCCTAGTTTGGTTCAGGCTTGAGGCCTACTTTGGTTCAGCCTGCAACCTTAGTAGTAATGCAGTCGATAGGAACAATGAGAGAACTAATAGTAATAGTAATGCAGTCTTAGTGAATGGTTTGACAGTGGTGAGGGAATTATTTGTTTAGCAGAGTGATGGCGTTAGGGAAAAAACTACAGATTTCCAGACTAACTGAATTTAATTAATGGTCATCGAGATGACATCTTGAGATCTGATCACTGCAAGTGAACACCGTTTTTTTTTTTAATCATTTTATTTTTGCCTGAAAAACTTGCCAGCCCTTGCTGCGAGCTACGTATCTAGTGACCTGAATTTCCTTGAACCAACTTGGGAAGTAGGTGTGGAACTTGGTTGATCTCAACCATTTGGATTCTGCTGGTTTCTGGTCTCTTTCATCGTGACCCGTCAAATGCGCACCCGACAAAAGCACGGCGACAAAAGCGCGGCGAGAAACCCGCGACGTCGAAAGCACTCCCACAAAAGAGCGCCGACAAAACCGCACCCACAAAAGCGTGGTTAGGGTTAGGGTTATTACATTGTGTTCGTTGTTTTTTGATGGTGCGCTTTCATCGGCGCGCATTTGTCAGCGTGCTTCTGCGCGCATTCATCGGCGCGATTTCGACCTCGCACTTTTGTCGGCGCACTTTTGTCGAGCGTGCATGTCGGTGAACCCTCTTTCATGACTGCAGCCTTTGTAGGTTGTACCGGTGAAGGCAGTAGGGAGCAAAAAAAATGCAATGTTATACCAATATCTGCTCCTGGACCGTAAGCTGGTAAAAGTAACGAAAGGGAAGAATCCTATCTCTGTGCCCTTCTGAAGTGAACCTCAATGTTTCTCCAGGTCCAACACTCCCAAGAAAGCAGTGATTGCAGGAAGCATGCAGCTCTTAGCAGGGGTTAAGCTTTGCACTGGAAGAATTTTAACCAATCACCCCCATTATGAAGACAAGAGCCTGCGAGAAAGAACAAAGCAGGTAAGAGGATCTGACTTTCTCCAGCTACTCCCATTCTTGCGTTGTCCTTGTTTTTAGCATTGGTGGATAACTGTTTGCCCAGAGTCAGGTTGGCTGTCGCAGGAGGCTCATCCCGCATGCGTGCATGTGGAGGACAGGGATGGGCCACACCTCCCATGACAGCCAACCTAACCCTGAGCAACGCGGTTGTTAGATTATTTGAATCCCACCACTGTGTCCCCCTCTCTGGATGATGCCGCCCTCCACTGATGCCACGCCGATGCTCCGATCCCATAAGACTAATCGTGACTAATCATTGCGACTGATCTCCGTGTGTGTGTGCATTGCCCGTTTCCTTCCTTTACTCATCATTTAGTCCCACGTTTAATGAATTAATAAAGCGATTCAACCCAATTCTCTCACTCACTTGCAGGTTTATCAGGTGTATGCCAAAAGATCGCCCGAAGATGTCCATAGGATCCTCAGATCTTTTGGCACCGACTTTGTGATCTTGGAGGACAGCATTTGTTATGAAAGACGGCATAGCAGGGGTTGTCGGTTGCGTGACCTTCTGGATATTGCCAACGGCCACGTAAGTCTTTTCCAAAACCAGTTGTTGGGCCCAAGAAACCAAGAATGACACGGAGAGTTACATCAGAGTAGTTTCTTTATTGTTGTTCGCCTGCAGACAGGAATCTTGCCAGACTAAAGCACTTAACTATTAGATATACCCTTTTCCTGAATAACAAAGATTCCGAGCTGTTTGAACCTCTTTCTCCTGACTCTTGACTAAATTCCACGAACATCAATCATCCAAATTGCATTTAAGTTGCTTCCAAGAATTCAGTTACTCTTTTATATGTCCTTGGGGTGCCCCTTATGAAATTATTGTGAACCCGGAAACAAAGATATTAGATCTGGAGTCCCCAACCTTTTTATCCTGGGGGACACATTTGAAATCCAGAAAACAGCTGAGCACTGTTGGAGGATGGATGTGGGAAACCAATCCAGTAGCGTGCGTCCTCTAAAGCGGAGATCTCATAAGACTGTTAGAGTCACTTTGATAGTGAGATGGGTGGCATATAGGTTTAGTAAATGCAATAAATAAAACTAATAAATAATGAGAGGATTGGAAGGTTGGCGTAGTATGCTACTTTAGTTTTGATCTAAGTGAGCCAGTTTGGTCTTGTTCTATCCGATGCTTCCCAAGAGCATAAAACAAACTCCTTGTCCCAACAAAAATCCCTTTTATTCATTTACTGTGAATTCTGCTCATTTACAAAGTCTTTCAAAGGAGGATTTACAGTCACAGACCTTATCTGGCTTGGAGAGCTGACAGGCCGATATTCGTAGAACTTGGCAAGGAGTCTCGGAGAGTCATGAACCAATTAAGCAAACAAATTGTCTCCTGCAAACTCCACTCCCTCTTCGCTCCTCTTTTATTTCTTCTGGGAGGAGCCATTCATGGTCCACCTGTGGCCTTACTCCCAAGTCGACCCCTGTTCTTTAGCT